TTTCCTAGGGCAACCACCACACTACTCCCTGCCATTAGCTACAGAAGGAACTCCCCATAACATCATCTAACTAGCTCACGATTATAATTACATTTCGTCGACACCAGATAATTCTTTAAATGAAAGGTCTCACACTACAATGGTTGGAATCAAACAAGAGTTGCACAATAGAGTTAAAACCTAACCTTCTAAAATTATTTAGTCTGAACAATATGTAACTTAGTATATTCGCTTACTACTTAGTTGAAGTTAATGGAAACTCCTAAAAGCACAAAGCTAGCAGCATTCGAGCATCGAATAATCGGAACAAGCATAACCTAAATAGGCCATCCTATCACTGACTGATCAGTACTAGCATGCAAGTCTACAAGCTCATACAGTAGGCATATAAATGCATCTCTCCTAGCATTCTATCATGCAAATCCTGAGCATATCCTTAGCCCTAACTAGCATGCAATTCACAGATTCACAAATCAAAGCATATCATAAAACATGTATGGGTATTTTGGGAAAATTTACTTGAGCTCGGTCGATTGCATGCACCACACCCTTTTTCTTTTATTAGAAAACCCTTTTATAAAACATTTCTTTTTGAAAAAAAATCTACCAAACCCTCAGTTTGAGTTCAGACACACCCGAGAGTATGCGCGAATCCCTCAAACTAAGGCCCTGATACTAACTTGTAACTACCCAAAAATTAAGACCAAAAATTTGGATTTTTATATTAATAAAACCACTATCTATAACAATATCATAAAACCATAGTGAAATCAGAGTATCAAATAACATCCAAGTACAATCAGAGTCATATAAAATGCAGAACAACGTGGCATGTGCACTACAATCATCCCGAGCTCTTCCCTTTCAAACTAGAAGTACCTGAAACATAAACTGAAAACCGTAAGCACAATGCTTAGTGAGTTCCCCAAAATACCACATATCATACATATCAAACATATAATGGGCCTTGCCCGGTATTGGGCCCCGCCAGGCATCAGGCCTTTCCCGGAACATATCTGTCAATCATCGGGCCCCGCCCGGTATACATGAAAACACATAAACACATGTAAGTATCACAAAGATAAATAGCATACAATATAATCATCAGGATCCGCCCGGCATCGGGCGCTGCCCGGTATACATACAAACATATATCAGATATCATACATGTGAGAGTCACGTAGACAACTAGCATCCTAATCATAATAAACCATGGGCCGACATTAGTGTCTTCAACCTGCCAAACACAGTGAGGAAACTCACCTCAGTCTGCTGAATCTCTCTGATAAAAGCTCGGACTGCTGATCTGAAAAATCCCGCGCTAACATCATGAATAATACCCAATTAATAATTAGTTCTTAATCCAAAATAAAAAATCTAGATCACTTATCCAACATCCAGGGTAAAAGACCATTTTTACCCTTTTTCCTACTTGGCCCAAAACAAGGCCCAATTTCGTAAATGGCACCTAAAGCCCAATATGACCTAATCTAAGAAAGCCTAAAGTCTAGAAAGTATCCATAGGAGTTAAGGGGTCAAGCCCAAACGAAACATATGCCAAAGACCCAAGCCCACAACTCCTTCGACCCACAGTCTAGCGTACGCTTGGTGTACCAGGCTCGTATGCCCTGTGTACGCGATCGATTCGGAAACGGGTTTGCAGCCAGTACGCTCAGTGTACCCAGGAGTATGCCCCGCGTACTGGCCTAATCCCAAACCTTTGTCCAAACGACTTAATCACTTCAGAACTTATCATCCAATCCACAAAATATCATCATATTAAGGTCGTAACCCATAATGTCGAAGGCTTTAAGCCTTTGCATGGCTAAAAACACCCCAAGGTCCAAATCTAGTATCTTAGCTCCATTAAGTGAAACATCAACTTTGCATGGTTGCAAAAACCCATCAAGGTGACTTTTTTTTTCATTAGGGACCTCTAAAACGTCCAGATCTAGAGACTAAGTTCCTGGAGTAACTTTTACTCACAAGGACAAGCCAAAGGAACTAAAATAAACCATGAATCACCCCAAACTAGATCTACACAAAGAGATGTCAAGCTAAGAACTTTTTACCTTCAATAGCTTGCAAAAGAGGTGACAACTATGGATCTCTAAGCTTCACTCCAAGCAATGAATCTTCAATAACCTTCTCTCTTCAAAATGCACAAGAAAACACTAATATCCTTCACAAGAGCTCAAGAACACTAAAATGGTGGTTAAGGGTCGAGATTAGGGTTTATGAGATATGGAGGCTGATAAGAAGCAAGGCTCAAGGGACATAATGAGCTTATATAGGGGTAAAACCCTAAAGATTAGTGTCTCAAGCAGGCTGGAATACGCCCTACATTCTCCCACGTATGCCCACGTACGTGGGTGCATTCGTGATCCGTCAATGGGCTAGTACGCTAAGCGTACTCATAGAGTATGCCCCGCGTACTAGCTAGGGGACTAAAAATGAAAGAAATTTTGCATTAAAGGGGTTAAAAGAAGCATACAAATAAATCTTGAATGTTACATTTAGGAGTTTATTGATACATTCAAAAGGTAAACTCGAATCTTCCTTCTTTATTCTATCCCAAATAAAATTACCTTTGTGCCCCTAAACCTTAAAATCATACTTAACATTAAAAAAAATCCATCCAACAATATCAATACCCTTTAGTTATGATTTGAATTTAAAGTTATAATTTTTGTAATTCAACCATCTTATTAGGATATTAATTTACATTCAAACACTAAAAAAAATATATCTTTATTCCTATTATACCCTTATCCTCCATTTTCCATTCGGTATTACCATATATGTATCTTAACAAATTATTTGAGTTCTATATCAAGATTGCAATCCATGTAATTCAGTCAACAATTTAAGATATTATATACAATCAAAAACAGTAACTAGGTTGAGACAATCAAACAAATAGAAATAGTAGCAGCTCACGATTTGATCCATGTTTAAATTAAATTATTGATTTACCCTTATGATGAACATTGTACATACCAAATTAATGATTTACCCTTCAGATAAAAAATGGAAGTATCATGCTAAACGCTTAAACAAAAAAAATGATTACCATAAACAGGAAAACCGGTAAGGATGTATTTGTCATTTAATCAAAGTACTTTGCTATAATAGGTGTATTTGTCATTCCATCGAAGTACTTTGCTATAATGTGTTTTAACTGGTTTCCATCAAAATAAATTATTTTTTTTCTAGATTAAAGGTAGGTAATATATTTTACTGTTTATTTGAAAAGTTTCAGAAAAGTAGTTAACCGATTTTATGTAATTTGTGACAAAGAAAATCGAAATATATAAATACATATATTTGATACGGGAACAAAAAAATAATTGAAAAAAAATATAAAAAGCGAAAGAAGGTACTGACCTTCTAGTGCACAACAACGAAGGTTTGAAGCAGGGAATGATGATGGAAGTTATAAGCAATAAGAATGATGTTCTAAGAGAAGGTTTAAAGAAAAGCAACGATTGAAAATAAGTGTGAGTCGCAGATTCAAGGATGAATCGTATATGTATGTGATAATTTGAATATGATTTTTTGGTATTAATGGTTTCCTAATAAAAATGGATTTTATATTAATGGTTGATATTTAATGTGTTAATTGAAATGATTTTAATAATATGTTTTTAAAGTTGACCATATTAAAATCTTTATAACCGGAAATTCAAGATTTAAAAAATATAGGAATCTTTTATTGGAATTAAATCCATTCAATTTCAACGAATGTAAGTTAATTTTGTTTTACAATTGGAAAGCTTTTATTGGAATTAAATACATTCCATTTGGGGAAGATGATGTCAGCAATTTGATCTAAGAGTAAAAAACATAGGATTAAAATACAATCAATGAACCCATATTGTTTAATATGATGTAATAAGGTTTTTGTTTTAATATATAATAGAGATATGCAAAACAATACAAGTTATTCCAGACATTTCGAACAAAACATTCCAGACATTTAGGAAAATAACGTTCCAGATCAGTTCTTATTCCGGACCCATTATTCCCATTTTGGAAACAAATTAACAACATTACATGTAATACTAAACTTTCCATGGTGTATTACTAAGAGTTTTTAGTCTAGTAACAAGTAAACAATGACTAAAAGCAACAAAAAAAAAGCACATGCAATATGCAATTCCAGACATCATCTGAGTATTCCGATATGGTCTATGTATTCCGGACTTAAGAACAATGTTTATACATCTAAATGTAAGTACATTAATCTGAAAAACTAATATAGTTTGTTGAATCCATGGAATAAAACACCAACATTCAAAATTTAAGTTTCAAGAATTTAACCACTTGGGTTGTGGTGACTTTGTAAGGCATGTAGAAGATATGGTGGATAACCTATTGACCCATGTTCAAATCCTGACACCACTCAGCCCTTGTGGCCATGGAGGTTCGCCTGCAGTGACTCCAGAGCATGAGACAAAATTGCATGTTTGCAGCGGGGGATTAATCGGTGCGCGAAAGCTGACCCGGAAACCCTCGTTAGGGAAGTTCCCTTTCCAAAAAAAAGTTCCAAGAATTTTGGCTTTTCCAAAATGACATTCAAAGTATCAATTGTCGGCACCATATTATATAGAACTAAGCCTGGTATTGGCTTGACCCGTTTTCAACTATTCCGAAATATTCATTTCAAAATGCATGATTATTTTGCTAAAAGCTACATCAGTTGGTTATTCTTCAAAATGCTATCCAAACTTGTTTACTTTACTCAATTTCCATTTTTGTCATTATCATTTACCATTCCATCTTTAGACTGAAAATATGTCAAATTTAGATAAAAAAAAATGGTTTGTTATTTTTAGGTTTAAATTTAAACCAAAATGCATATATCCCTAATATTTAGGAATTCCCAATCCATTTTATTTAAAAGAAATAAATTTAATTACTGTTTTATTGAGTAACTTTTATAACATTGAATTAAACATTTACAGTCTCAGTTATTTTACAACTTAATTTCTCATTTAAAAAAAAATAATAATAAGTCTCATAACCACAGCCTAATTCTGTCACCGGTCTATTTGACAACACGACCCGGTCCAAGCTATTCCAGGCATGGGCCGGACCAAATAATGTTTCCTCTTCAACCTCATTCCTAAAATCCTAAATCAACCCTAACCCTAATAACTCGCTGTACACTAAACAATCTAAATTCTAAACCCATGTTAACGATCTACAAATTTACACACCGATCTCCTCAAGAATTCATTCACCAGCTTCGAAAACGCCGAAGAAGCGTCTTCTTGCAACCGCGCCGGAGAATCGTACTCCGCCACTTCCCCTGTATTTCCGATGAAACCGGTTAATTTTAGCCTTTTCGTGCATTATTTTTCTAATCTATAGAATTAATCGAAAGTTTTGTTACCTTGATCGAGAACGAGAACTAGATCGCTGTCGACAATGGTGGGGATCCGATGAGCGATGGTTATGACTGTACATCTGCTTGTTTCTTCTCTTATTGTCTTCTGCATGATGTTATCTGTCTCTGTATCGATGGAAGCAGTCGCTTCGTCAAGAACTAGTATGCTGCGTTTCTGGAGCAATGCCCTCGCTAAGCATACAAGTTGTCGTTGCCCAACACTCCAATTTTCGCCATCTTCAGCCACTGAAAATGTTTAAATCATTAAAACATGGTTAACAATTGAAAACGAAAACATAAGGTCCGGGCCAAATTCACTTTATATTTTCCCCTGCTTCGTTAATTAAAACTAGGTGAGAGAGACCCATGTATTACATGGGTTAATTAAAAAAAATTAAATATCAAAATTTAAACATTAAGTATTTTTTAAAATTAAATTTTAAAATAAGGAAGGAAAAAACATATTTATTGCAATTTAACATTATATTTATTACATTTAATACTTTATTTATATAGTTATATGTATTATGTGACTTTTTAATTTTAAAAATTAAAAAAACTTAGAAATTGACATGTGGATATTATTTATTTCAAAAATACCACAAAATGACAAGTGTCAAAACTTATCAGAGATTGACATGTGGCAAAATGGATCTTCATTTATTAGAGTAGATAAATATATTATTATTTTAATAATATAATTTTGTAATCATATCAAATTATTTTAATTATCCATAAGGTTAAAAAAAATTAAAACATGAGACTAATTGAAAGAACTATACATAAACTTTTGTAAACTTGTATTATTACAGGGAAAATTCCCTATTGAAATTTATTTTATTTTGGTTTAACCATGAAATTTTTGTCAAATAACCATTTTATAAAACTTTGAATTCTATACAACCAAAATTTGTTTTTCTCGTATCATATAAACATTAAAAGTTCGAATTTTTTTTTTAAAAAAAAAATAATGTTTGAAGGGAAAAACTCATGATTTTTTGAAGGGAAAAAAAACTCAGTTTGGTAAACAAATAGAAAAATAACAAACTAGTCGTTTCTTAAAGGAATTTGGCCAAACATAGTCTTTTCAATTCTTTCCATGATTGAATTTTCAATTTTGTTTCTTACTAAAACATTGTATTCCAATAATATATCAAATTACTGGATTACTTTAAATTTTTAGGTTATTGATACATCTATCGAACTAAATTTATCAAAATGTTGTAAAAATAAAAAAATAAAATAAAAGGCACCTGGTGTATCAAGAAGCCTCTTATCCTGCCTTACAATATCCGCAAGTCGACACTTATTCAACACCTCCCAAATCTCACAATCCGAATGCTCTTCCAACGGATCAAGATTAGTCCTCATAGTCCCTTGAAACAAAGTCGGATCTTGTGGAATTATCCCCAATTTAGACCTCAAATCATGCAACCCAATCTTGGAAACATCAATCCCATCAATCAAAATGCAACCTTTTGTGGGTTCAACCACCCTAAAAAGAGCCTGAATCAGCGTTGACTTTCCACAACCAGTTCTTCCCACAACCCCGATCTTTTTTTGACCAGGAAAAATACAAGTGATTCCTTTTAAAACAGTTGGAAGAGCCGGGTGGTATTGAACATGTAGATCTTTGAGCTCGATTTGGCCTAGAGTGGGCCAGTTGGGTTCTGGTTTGTAATCTTTGATTGTTTCAGGGGCTTCGCTTGGAATATTCGCAAATTGGAGAATTCGTTCCACTGAAATCATTTTGTTTTCAACGTTGCAGAGGTTCCATATCACCCAGGCTTGTAGCACGTTTAGGCTCAAACCGTATGTAACAGCTAACCCGGCTAAACCTGTGGTTGCAAATTTTGGTTTTTGTTAATAATATAAAGTAATTATTGTTGTGTAAATGAGTATCCCTTTGAAATAGTTTTTGAAGTAAAATACAAAGACCTTATATTTTGTGTTTTTTCTGGATTGAACCTCATTTCTTATATTTTGTGTTTTTTCCAGATTAAACCTTTTGCTTGAGAAAAACTTTGTATTTTTCATTTTTTCCGATCTGACTTTTTTTGTCATTTTTTTTCCAAAAAAAAATGTAAAATGTGATGATTTTTTTTTGAGAAAAACTAAAAAGGTTGAAGATTTATTTGGAAGCATTCAGAAGGTTACTGGTTAAGGTTGAGGGTTTTTTTACGAAAAAAAAAATACAAAATTGAGGGGTTTTTTTGGAAAAAAAATGAAAAGGTACAAGATTGAGGGGTTTTTTTGGAAAAAAAATGAAAAGGTACAAGATTGAGGGGTTTTTTTGGAAAAAAAATGAAAAGGTACAAGAGGCAAAAAGTAAATTTGAGCTTTAATCCGAAAAAAACACAAAATATAAGGGTTTTTTTTTTTGTGAGATTAACCCTGCACTTTAAAGGTTAACTGAAAAATCTTACATTACACAATTGAAAAAAATAGTTGTATTGCAAGTGTGGATATATATAGTTTTGGATAAAAGTTCTTTATGAATAAAGTTAGATATATTTCTTTTCAAAGAATATGCAACAATTTTCAAGTTATTCTATATATAATTAGAAACTAATATTAACATGTTTTCATATACAATCTCAAAACTCTTAATTCAAAATTTTAATTATAATTAGGTTGTTTTTATATTTTAAAGAACGGTTTAGGTTGTTTTGAAATTGCAAATTATTGGTCCTCAAAAAGTGTGAGAGTGACTTATTCTTTTAACTCTTGTGTATACAAAAAGACACCTTCATATTCCTTATTATTTGAGGGGATGTGTAAAGAAACTTACTATGATCGATTGACGCCCGAGGGAGGTGCACCAACACAACTAGGAGTATAAAAAACACGAGGTTGAAAAGGAAGTTGATCCGAACACATAGCCACTCCATTGTAGCAGTGTTATGAAAAGTAACACGAGAATAATCATCAATAACCCTTAAACACTTGTTCAAGAAACGAACTTCTTGATTAAAGCAACGAACTGTCAAAGCCCCGGAAATCGATTCCGAAAAATGATGCTGAATTGGAGACTTTTGAATCCCGATCATCCTCGCTAGTTCCCTAGCAGTAGTAATGTAGTACGCCTGAATTGTACAAAAAAAAAAAAAAAAATCATTTTATTTTTTTCTTTATAAAAAATGGTCTATAAATTCAAGATTTTGTGTTTTCAACTTACTTGATACCATATCGATATAGCAATTACGATAATGCAAAGCAAAAAGATTGGCCATGCGACATGTGACATTAGCAAAATAATGCTTAGAAGTTGAATTATTGCGAAAACTAATCCCGCCAATCGATAAGGGACATCTACATCCACTGTGCTTTGATCCGTTGAAGACTGTAAAAAAGACATAATCAAATAAAAAAAAGTAAAAAAGTTATTGAATTTAACCTCCAATTTTTTTAGTTGTGTGAAATAACAAATAAAAAAGTTGGGGATTGATTACTTACACGGTTGAGGATGCGGCTCGAAGGTGTGGAGTCAAAGAATGAAACGGGTGCCCGAAAAACCGAATTTATCATTTGTAAGAAGAGGTTTTGACCCGTTTTGATGGCAATCACAGACAACAAAAAAGCCCTAACCAAAATAAAAAGCGAGCTTCCACCGGACAAAATCACAAAGATTTCAATTAGGGTTTTGCTGCTAACCCGACCCTCATCTTCCGTGGCCCACGCCATCCAGTAATTACTGCCCATTTGGAGGGCTAAAAAGAGCGTGTGACATATTAAGATAACTGGAACTAAGGCTCCTTTACATGCTGAAGTGATGAAAGTTGAGTATACACTGAATTTGACCCGCCCGGATTGTGATTCCTCTTGTGGTATTGTTTCTATGGACCCGACTCGGGTCCTACAGGGCTCGTGTTTTAGTTCCAAGGGTGCACCATGGTTAGCTTGTGGGAACGTGGTGAGGGTTTTGGTCTCGTGGAGTGGGTTTAAAGACATGGAGTGTGCGGCTATTTGGCGTGCAAATTCACTTGTGGGGTCCGCGATTAGGTCGTTGTAGTTTCCTGATTGTACAATAACACCGTCTTTGATCACCTATGCCAAAAACACACACAAAGGCTAAGTTGGTTACATCGACGAGATTTCTAGGGCCATCTTCGATGATGAGGAGGGTATTTAAGTCTTTTGTACACACACGAAATCATAAGCGAGTCATGTCCAATCTTTTTAGGTGTTGTATTTTTTGTCCATTGATATCAGTCTTGCTCGGTTTTTGTCAAATGGATGTCAAACACAGTATAACCATACATATCATGGTGTGGGACGTAATTTCATGTTTTTTTTTTTTTTGTGTAGGACAAAAAAATTGCAAACTTTTGTCCCATTTACAACATTTTTAGTGTAACAAACGGAACCTAAAAATAAATATAGCCAACAAAAAACACATAAAACCTACCAGAACCAAGTCCGCTGCGCTTAAAAACTCCAATTGATGCGTTACGTAAACAACCGTCTTCTTGTCTAGCAAATTCATCAAACATTTCTAGAAAAAAAAAAAGATTTAAATTAACCCCAAAAGCATCCACAAACAAAAGTATAAAAACCAAAGAAAATTTGAAGAAATCTTGTACCTTGAACATATGAGCACCCGTATGAGCATCAACCGCACTAAACGGATCATCAAGGATATAAACATCCGAAGCATTATACAAAGCTCTTGCTAATTGAATCCGTTGTTTTTGACCTCCACTTAAATTCAACCCTCTCTCCCCTACAATACTTAAATCCCCATCAACCAATGTCTCAAAATCCCTATCCAAACCACATCCATCCACAACTTCATCATAAAATCCCTTATTCATTCCCCTACCAAATAGAATATTGTCTCTTATTGTTCCCGTTTGAATCCAAGCACTTTGTGGCACAAAAGCTTTTGATCCAAATACTTTTATACGTCCACCCGAAATCCTTGGGATTTCACCAAGTATGCTACATAACAAGCTCGATTTTCCCGCTCCAACTGAACCACATATTGCTACTTTATACCCTTTTGGTATTTTAATCTTTTGAGAAATCTTGATTGTGGGTTTTCTTTGATCCAAATCATTTGTGTCCCATGCATACTCCCCGGGTTCAAATTCTATTGCCACATCTTGTTCCATTACAAAATCCTGATCCGTTGTAGAATCTTTGATTATAAAATCTTTGATTCGATCAAGTGAAACCTTCGTTTGAGCTACCATGGAAACAAGATCCGGGAGATTATAAATCGGATCTTGCAAGATTCTAAAAGTAGCCAAAGTTGAATAAACAACACTTGGGGTTAATGGGATTTTCAAGAAAATGCAAACACCGAAAGTGGAAACGGAAACTAATGTAGGAGATGTCCAAAAGAGGAAAGCAATAGCCGAACACGTATAAAGATATTTCTTGAGCCAATTTTGTTCTTTTTCTCTTAAAGCAATCAACTTTTTCTTGAAGTTGGATTGCCATGAATGCAACTTCAAGACTCGCATGCTCTTCAAGATTTCTGAAGTAGCTTTAATCCTCGAGTCTTTCGACTCCATGACTTTTGTTTGGAAATCTTTTTGCATATTTGCTAATGGGACATTGATGATCATAACAAGAATAGTGGAAATGAGGGCAGCCATTGAAGGAGCAAAACCAAGGTTCATGTATAAGATGATCAAGGCAAGAAGAACTTGAATTGGAAGCAACCAAATGCCATGAATATGCCAGAAAAACTCTCCTATTTTTTCGACATCCATGTTGATCAAATTTACAATATTGCCATTGCTTGTGGTGCCATATTTGACTGATAAAGATTTCTTGTATATTAGTACAATAAGAGCAGCACGTATACGAATGCCAATACGTTGAGCACCAAAGTACCATTGTCTTTGAGATAATGATTCAATTGTTTTTGCCAAAAAGAAAATACATGAGAGAATAATTCCTTTTTGGTAGCTTGAATCATTATCATCTTCTGATAAGTAATTCACAAAACTTGTGATCAAAATCGGTCCCATGTATGAAGCAAGTGTATTCACCCCTAAAATTATCAAAAAGAAAAAATTAAAGTTACCACATCTTTTAAGTGTAAAATAAATAAATATTTGACAAGACTTGTATGTAAGCAGATTCGCAGAATGTGCATATGTTGAACTACTGAAACTTTGGCCAATTTGTATACCCCACTTTTCCCCCTTTTATTTTAAACTTTATGTGCATCACATGTGAATTTTATGTGGAAAGTCTCCACTACCCAAAAAGCTAAAAAGAAAGAAAGTTAACAAAAAAAAAAAAAACACTGAAGTCTGTCAGAACAAATTATATTAATTTTGACATTTTCCCTCACTTTGATGTAATAAAATAAACAAGTATGATGATTAGAATCACTAATTCTAGCACATTTTAACGTTTGTTTTTTACTATTTCACCCAATAAAATGGTCAGTTTATAAGGGAACTACACATCCACTCATTATGAAGAAAACTCAAGCGGTGGTCCACTTTACTTAATAGGCCAAAAAAGAACACTAGAGTACGTGAAATAAATGAGTCCTTACTTTATTAAGTCAAAAAAAAAAAAAACACTCTCTTAACCAATTTAAGCCTAGTCGGTTGTCGACATTTAAGTCGATTAACTAAAAACCATTTTTGTGTAGTTCCCTTTAACAAGCACGTCTAACTTGAAAAGAAAAGTCACAAGAATAGTAAAAAAGAAATACTTTTTTAATAACTTCAACATGTGCACTCATATTAGCTTCAACTTTTGTAACTTTGTCCTATATGTTTGTGTGTTGGTGGTCCGTTGGAGGATCTCTTGGATTATATTCGTGGTTGTAAAGAACAAACTTGGTTACAACTTTATGCATTTAAATATATTTGATGAAAAACTACAAAATTAACAACTTTATGCAATTAATCACATGAAACCCAATACTAAACATAAGTTATATTGTCTAAAAAGATGACAACTTTATGCAAAAATCACCATTGGGTGGTAGCAAACTCATTAAAAATTTATTAGAAACCAAAACCTCTTCAACAAAGTACAACTAATGAACATATTCGTAAACTTTGTTCCTAAAAAACTGAATTCAAGAAAAAAAAGGTAAGAACTTACCTGCAAATATGGCGTTTATTGCTAAAGATTGTCGTATAGCATGAACTATCGCCATGGTCAATACTGAGCCTCGAGTTTTTTGTTTTTGAAGCGACTCTTCCAACAAACATGCAGCTTCTTGAGCAGTTTCAGATTCAGGAATCGAAGGGACATGATTAAACTCGAGTTTTTGAGCGTGACCCAATTCAAAAAGAGGGTTTAACCAATTAAATGTAACCCTCTTCCAAATTCCTGATTTTGTAAAAGCGCTAGTGTCTTTGCTAGTTTCTTGGAGCAATGGTTCATCTAGTTCTTCGTGTTTCTTGGTGACACGATATGTTAGACCATCGAAACACAAAAGAATTGAAAAGGGGAAGGTGGCCATGTCGACAAGATTCGATGATGAAACAAATATATGCATGTTTTTGGATTTAAGATAGTTGAAGATGATGAAAGTGACTGAAACTGAATCAAGAATCGTGGAAAAACACCAGAATAGAACTAGCACCCAAGGCCATTTTCGTGTTTGTTCATCTCTTCTACTGAAGAATGAATACACAGTAACAATAGTGGCTAAAGACCATGTTAATGCAGAGATGACAGACTCGTAAGGTACAACCTCGTGCTTCAAGAACTTGTACACACAAAAACCAATATGAGAAATCAGGATTATAAAGGTGGAGACGAGAGTAATCTTTGAAAAACGTGAGAAATTAATCGAAAATCTTGTTCTTTCACCCCTTGTTTGCTTTAGAATATCAGCGAATCCCCAGATGAATAACCACAGGAAGAAAGACACATTGCCTGTATTCAAAATGGCCGCCATTGACGGAAACTCGAGAACCTCGAAAGCCCCTTTATACAGCTCGAAAACGAAACTAAAATCGATTAAAGAACAAAACCCCCACATCAAAACAATGATTACTATAATGAAAAATCAAAAAGGGGGAAACAAAAGGGTACAAAAACTGTGGAAGATAAAATTAAATTATTAGGTAATGTATATCCAAGATTGGATGAGTCTAAGAAATGTGGATCTGTAAAGGGTTTTAGCGACTCACGTGTCGATTCTTCAAACGGTGGGTTGGTGAGAGGAATATGAGCCTGAAGGTTGTGGTCGATACTTCAATTGTCTTGATCCTTCTTTCACTATATATAATACAAAAAAAAGTATATATGTACGCATTAATTGAATTTCAGAGTGTTACAAACATCCCTATCAAAGATTCCAACATCCCATGATTCATATACCCTGGGTGATTCATTGGAATGTAATAAATTGTTTAATAAGCTACCAACTATGTAAATCATGTTAATGTTGTCATAGGTAACAATATAAAGCTGCTTAGCTAATATAGTTGATATTTTTGTATAAATATAATTATACAAGCTTTACTAACTCTGTTTTGGATCGCTTATTCTAACTTATTCAAAAAAATATTATCAACTTATATGGTATTGAAAGCATTTTAAGAAAATGTATGCGTTAAGGTATATGGTACCACAATAAGTTGACAAGTACAAATAAAATAGCATATTCAAACACTCAATTTAGCTTATTTAGTGGTATCAAAACGTTATGATCAAAATAAAACAACTGATCTTAAAGTGCTTATTTAAATCGATAAGCAAAAGACTCTAAGGAGTTTATTTGGTGTGGCAGGTGGTGTAGGGAAATGGATTGGGTCCATTTCCTTTGTTTGTTTAGAACTAAGAACAAAGAAATTAGAAGAAAAAAAATATGAGAATTTCGTATGTCATTCTTAAACATCAAAAAATCTTATTTGTTCGGTTTAATTTCTAAATATCATATTTACCGTTCATAAACTTTATATATATATATATATATATATATATATATATATATATATATATATTCTTGTTAAATATCAAAATATCATATATATATCATTCTTAAACATCAAAATATTAACGACAATGTTTAAAGTGTCCTGCAACTACAACATAACAATAATAATCAACAAGAAAACTAAACGTTTAATACATACATTCCAGGGAGAGTGTTGAAGATGATGTGTTGTAGTTGTCAAAAGGGCGATGTTCCAACAATTTAGTAGTAGATGATCCATCAATTTAGATGTAGAGACGATATGGTCAATTTTTTTAAATATCATAATGATTCTCATATATCGAAAATGATTGTAAACTATTAATTGTAAAAAAGGTTTTGGACAAATATGATATTTTGAAGGTTTATGAAGGATAAATATTATATTTAGAAATTAAATTAGGCAAATATGATATTTTAGTATTTAAGAAGAGCATATACGAAATTCTCCTAAAAAGATTTTATCATTTAATCTTTTTCTTTTTGTATATAAGTATAAAAAAAATATAGGAAATGAAAAATTATCACTTCACCACTCACACCTTTTATTTTGGAACCCTAACACATCCCCTAGTATTTTCGTGACACATCCCTTTTCATCGACTAAGGCCTCTTTCTACGATTTAGGCATGCCTTGCATCATCTCTCTCGTGTCACACTCACAACATCTCTCTCATCTTACACTCGTATTGATTATGTATTAGTTGTGAGATCTATGTATTAAATGGGTTAATTAAAAAAAAGTTAAATATAAATGTCAAAATATCTAAGAACTTTGAATTTATAAGAAAATATGAAAAATAATTAATTATTATAATGGAAATGTTTTTTATCTTTTAAATTTAAACAAATAATTTAAATAAATAAAAGAGATTAGTAAAGTTTAATTTTGGGAATTTTGAAATTAAAATGTAAGTTAATTAATGAAACTGATATCCATTTATTACTACATTTACTGCATTTATTACACTAAAATATTATATGGAATTTAATAAAATAGAAAAACTCATAAAATGACATGTGGAAAAAAATTAATTCAAAATAACTACAAAATGACATTTGGCAAATTGAACGAGAGTGTTACAAGTGGCAAAAAAAACATTCATTTATTAGAGAGGATCTTTCCAAATTTGTTATGTATGTCGATTTCGGGGAAACACATGGATGTTTCATAAAATGCTAAAAAGGAGAAACTTGCATGACCAAATTATATATATAACTTCAGCATGTTTAAGATATCCAAGCGCTTTTTTGATATATATAATCTAAATGGTCAAATCTTTTAAGCTGAAAGATGAAGGAACTTTGTTTCATTCTTTAAGATATTTGTGACGTTCCAATTTTCAAGGCAAAATTTTATTTATTCAAACATAAGTTTTACACATGTTATATTACAAAATCATTGTCACATATTTAATTTTAAAAAAGAGTTTTAGTGGAAGTCTTACAATATTATTAATGCATTCGATGCAAGTATAGTCATGTGTGAGCATTTCCTTGATCTGAAGAACAACCTGAAAAGCAGTTATTCAACAATTGTAAGCTGAGGCTTAGTGAGTTCCCCCAAGATGTCATATACCAGAATACATACACAATGCATACACATAATGGCCTTCAAAATAAAGTTGGTCCGACCCTTTTGCCTTCAAAGTAAAACCGGTCTGCCCTTTGTCCTTTAACGTAACGCTGGTCCGCCCGAGTATATTAGCCTTCAACATGAGACTGGCCCACCCTCAGCTCCTATATATATATATAGCAGACAAACAGTTCCACATGACATGCAACAAACTAAGCTAGTTTAGTGGCCTAATTACATACTACAGGGCAACTATATCCTAACATACAAAGGATACAGATTGGAGTATATAATATAGTGAGAAGAACTCACCTAGAAAATTTCTTAGATGGTTAACAACTATCCTGGTAATCCAATTGGCGAGCAACGCGCCTCAATAAGTATTAACCTATATTACTATAGCTTATTAGTCCATATGGGAATCTGGTAATGAAAGGCATGATCATTTCAGCATATAGCCTTTCTAAAATCCAACAACCAAGCCAATGTGACCATTCTAGACACCTCTCCCGTAAGTAGATCAATCAGTATTATGACTGAAATTACTTATAAATCTTATTTACACATTCATAACAAAGACTATGAATATAAATATAAGTTACAATGAAAACAATATAAATGTAGCTTAACTTATAGAGATTTTCCTGACAAAATTCTGGAAATTGTAGTTGCAGAACTCCGACCCGAGAGCTTCTATTTTTCGGGCTCTCAAAGACTCTAGATAGCTAAAATACCCTAGAATCTAAAGAAATATCAGATCAAGGTTGAATACTTCAGAGGAAAGGTTTTGAAATTGTGTGTGGAGAAATGAGGATTAAAAATGGTATTTATAGGCAAAATTCGGGGGTGGCGCGCCACGCCACGTACCAGGCGTGTCGCGCCCTAGGTAGGTGGGGTTTCCTCCGCCTAGAATGTGGCACATGGCGGCTAATCAGTGTGGTTGCGTGGTAAGGGGGTAGGTACGTGTTTAATCTTTAAAAATTCATATCTCGCTTATACAAGCTCTTTTTTCGACGTTCTTTATATGCATGCATATGTATTTCCGAGTACTATAACTTTCATTTAGACTCCATCGGCTAATTCACGCTACATTTTAAATTTAACAGTCTACGAAGATTACACTGCAAAGGACAATGTAAATTTCATAACTCCTTCATAGGGGCTCCGTTCTCGAATGTCTTTATATCGTTGGACTCCTATTCATGAGATCTTCGATTCTCGTTTAGATTGTTTTGGCTAACAATCAACCAATTTGAATTTGAATTTCTGTGTTAACACAGTTGCACTGAAACTTCGAAAAATCGTAACTTCCTCATACGAAGTCAAATTTGGACATTCTCTATATGCACGAGTTCGATTTTATGATTACTACGAATTTCGTTTAGATTACTTAGGCTAATAAGAAATATATATTCGATTTATATTTTACGACGCACTTTGTCGTATAGGGATGAATGCAAAACTTCGAAGAATCATAACTTCTTCATACGAAGTCAGATTCAAGCGTTTTATATATATACGGAAATCGTATTGACATCTTCTATAAGTTTATGATGATTATTTTGGCTCAAAAGTAATATATTTCTCCTTCGTATTTCATAATAATGGTTTAATATTGCATCAATCTCTGTAGCATTTTTCTTCTCAACATCTTTTTGATCAAGAGCTTCCTTTATAGCTTTCAGTTCATCAAGCTCTTTATCCCTCACAGGTTGAGCCTTCTTTTCTTCATCAGTAAGAACTGGATTGATATCTTCTTCTGAAATGATAGTCAACAGAAGCTACATTAACCTTCTGTTCAGTACTTTATTTTTCTGTAAAGTTCTTCAACTTATCCTCCAACGATTGTTTTTCAAGAATAACTTTTGCAGCTTTAAATTTCTTCAACTTATCCTCCAACGATTATTTTCAAGAATAACTTTTGCAGCATTAGATCTTTCCATATTCCTTGTCTGATAAGGATTTCTGATAACGACTTTTGGAATCAGAAACATTCATCGGATGAGCTCCGTCTTTAGTATTAACATTTTCAGCTGCATTCATTCTCAGCTTCCTCTCCCCCTTGTTGCGAAGTAACACCGCTACTCGTAACATTTTCGACCTGAGTAAGTTTAGCAAGAATATGATTAAGCTTCACATCCATAATGGTGAAAAGCATTGAGTTTTGCATCCATGACTTGCGAAACATAATCCACAAATAGAGTATCCTTTTGTTTAGCAATCTTCACTAAATGCTGATTAATTTCAAAATTGTGACTATTTTGTTGGATTAGGTGTCTAAGCCCATAACTATAATTGGTATGTACTTGACCCGAGAGTAGCATGGTCCATTTCGGGTTGCATATTACTAGGACAATTTGATAGGATGGATACTTGAGTAAGAGGTTACTTATGATTTATTAATATATTATAAGTTCTAATATATTAATATGAAATCATATTATTTAATTAGTATTGATTAAGAATTAATTTGGAATTAATTATGTGATCAAAAGGGACTAATTAAATATATGGGGATTGATTTGGTAAATCAATGATTCTTATAGTGTGGGCCAATTGTTATTTAGGATGGGCTAAACCAATATGGCAGTCCATGGATAGTCCATGGAGCCTAAGTAATATGAAAGGTCATGGGCATTAGGGTTTGCATGGATGTAACCCTAGACTTTGCCACACTATAAAAGGACTCCCTTA